AAAAATCTATTAGCAATTAAGAATAATCCGTAAGATTGTTTTTGATGAGATAGTATCTTTTGCCTTTCTAATTGGAGGCTGGAGTAAAGAGCTTTTTTCTAAACCTCCATTTAAGGAGTGGGACCCAGGCCACCCATCTCCTCATTGCCTACCAGGTTGCATTTCTTCGTATTTCTCCATCCGTTTGTATTTTACCCTGTGCTGGGTCCCTTCCTCCTCTTCCTTTTCAACTTCCCATTGTGTATTGTCTTCCCTCATTAGACTAGAAGATCCTTGAGGGCAAGGACTACGTTTATTTTTAATTTTTGTATCGCCAGTACTTAGCAAGTGCTTGGTACATAGTAGACACTTAATAAATTTTTAGACTGACTGAATTCTGAGCCTCTTTCAAATAGATTAGTCATTAAAGGATATGAAGAAGTTTTCAAAATAAGAAGCACAAATCATCAACAACCTTCAGGAAAAGTGTTCAGAATTGTTAATGATCCAATAAATTCAACTTAAAACAAGTCAGGCATGACCCTACTTTCTATTAGATTGTGGCAAAGATGATAAAAGATGGAAAAAGACTTACTTCAAATCCAATTCTCTTTCTTGCTGACTTTCTAAGTTGTCTTGGGCTGAAAAATTGTTTAACCTCATCCTTTTGTGTGTTCTGCTGCTCCAGAATTTGTTCTGAGGCATTATTTTAAAGGTATTTGAAGGGAAATTTGAGAGAGCTCGGATGAGTCCCTGCCTTTTCTCCACCATCTTGGCTCTGCTCCAATAAAGCTCTGTCAATGGAAGAATTAAGAGGAAAGGATAATTCCTCATTCCTCAGTTTCACCCAGGTACTTCAGTGAAAATACTCTTCATTTAATCAGTAGGCCTTGGTCTCCTCATTTATAAAATGTGGAGGTTGCCCTCAATGACATTTAAGGTCCCTTTTAGTTCTGCATCCATGATCCCATGGATGGAAATTGTTATCCTAGCTTATAAAATGATAGAATTTAAGAGCTAGAAAAGACCTTAGATTATGTGACTTATCCAAGGTCACATAGCTATTTGAAAATGCAAGAAATCTTTTCATAAAGCCAACTGTTAATACATTACCATAGAATAGTTTATCAGATTGGTTAGTTTTTATTGTGGCTTCTAAAATGATGAGAAACAGGATGAAGATATTTCAGGGAGGTGAATTGGGAATTTTGAGGATATAGGGACAAGCAGAGCTGTAATTAATTCAAAGTGCTAACCTTTGAAGGGACCTGTTTTCTCTCTGATTATGTATATTTTTGTTTATGTTTCCTCCCAGTGGGGACTGTCATCTTCATACATTGTCCTGTGGTCCTTCAGTAGACTGTATTGCCCAGTGGCCCGATAACCTGTAGGCTCCCACACCTGGGGGCCTATCTATAAGATAATGGGTCCCCCTCCCCCTCCCCAAAACAATTGGGATGGGGACCCACCCCTCCCCCAGCATAACTACACTTTAATTTGCCACTCACACTACTGTTGCCTATTTCTTTTCCCCTTCCCAAATAGATTTGCCCTGGGTACAAAAATCACTAGTTATGACTCAGAATAGGAAAGGATAATGGAGCTAATTTTTGTTATAGCAAGCTTTAATTGGGATATAGAAGTTAGGAGCATGATAGCACTGGATCATAGAGGATACCTGTCTCCTGTGATAGGAAGAGATATGTGAAGATAGGTGAAGAGGCAGGGTACTAAGCATCAACAACAATGCCCCTTTAACCATGTTGCCAGAGGTGGTTTGGGATGTTACTATTAGAAGAAGAAATATAAATTCTATATGCAAGCCTGCTATCAGCCAAGTAAGCGATTTTCAGAAGTGACAAAATTTAAACAACATCCCACCAATGGGAAGAAACTTTCAGGAGAGGGATATCCCAAGGGATCATTTCACTTCTCTGTCTTTCTTGAAAGTACATAAGAAAAAAAATCAAAATTCCATCAACTATTTAAAAACACTACCCTTAAAAATTTTAAAATTTGACTACAAATTTTCAATATTTGTAGTGACTTTATTTTTTAAAAATTTTTGAAAGGTTTTTTCCTTTAAAAACATTTACCTTACAAAATAAAAGAGAATGTAATAAAGTCTATGATTTTGATATGAAATAAATACCCTGCCTTTTACTAGAATATTTGTGCACCAATATAATAAGCACTTGACATATACACAGTCTTAATTTCTTAGTTTGAGTGATAATTGAATGGCATTTTAGAGAACTGCGAGGAGCTTAATGCATTGTTATTATTAATCTTAAAATTATTTAAGCTCATATTATACCAAAGCAATGTCTTTAATAAAATCATACTTTTATACGAAATAACTATAAAATTAAAAAACCAGTAAAATGTGTTTAAATCCAGTGTTAAAATGTGAAAGACAGAGGTAAATGTCTCAGAGAGTAATATACATACATATATACGTATGTATATACATACACATATACATGACATCATACAGTTGTTTGGTCATTTTTCAGTCATGTCCAACTCTTTGAGACCCTATTTAAGGTTTTCTTGACAAAGATACTGGAGAGATTTGTCATTTCCTTCTCCAGCTCATTTTACAGATGAGGAAACTGAGGCAAACAGGGTTAAGTGATTTGCCTAGGGTCACACAGTAAGTGTCTAAGACCAGATTTGAACTTAGGAAGATGAGTCTTCTTGACTCTAGGCCTGTTACTCTATCCACTGCACCACCTAGCTGTCATATATAACATATATCTATATCTATATTGATATCACAATATTTTTATAGCAGCAAAGAACTAAAAGAAAAGTAGGTACCCATCAGTTAAGAATGGCTCAATAAATTGTGGTATATGAATGTAGTGCAGTGTTACTTTTTCATGAAGGAAGAAATCAGAGAAACTTAGAAAGACTTATATGAACTGATACAGAGCAAAATAAGCAAAATCAGGAGGACAATTTACGTAGTGACCACAATTATGTAGAAGAAAACAATATTGAAAGGTTTTAGCACTCATACATTTTCAGATGTGATCAACCTCTATGTTTTGGAAAGGAAGTCATTGGCAAGTGACAATGATATAAACACAGTAAAAGAGCGTCAATTAAACAACAACAAAAAAGCTAAATTAAAGTTTAAAAACCTTTATTTCAAACAAATAAAAGTATATTTGTAGATTGTATTAATTTAATGAAGCATGAAAATCAGTATTAATGGAGATATAGAATCCGGAGAGGAGGCATAAGCATTTATTAAGCGCCTACTATGTTCCAGGAACTATGCTAAGCTCTTCATTTCATTCTTATACCAATCCTGGGAGGTAGGTGTCTCCATTTCACAGTTGAGGAAAGTGAGACAGAGAGAGGGAGACAACTTATTAGAATTCCTTTTTTCTTAGGGAGGAGAAGTAACTTTTTCAAGGTCACAAAGCCAATAAGTTGCAGAGGTAGGACTCGATCTATGATATCGTAACTACCATTTCATTGTATTTTTAAAAACTACATTATACTGAAAATGCCCATTTTTCCTAATATTGCCAAGGAAAATAATATTTATTTTCATTTTAAATATTAAAATCAGTATTTTTTTTAAGGCAGTAAGAGTTGAGTGACTTGCCCAGAGTCACACAGCTAATAAGTGTCTGAGGTGAGATTTGAATTCAGGTCCTCCTGACTCCAAGGCCAGTGCTCTATCCACTGTCCCACTTAGGTGCCCCTAAAATCAGTATTCTTTGAATAAATATATTCTTTAAGGTTGGTTTTTTATTTTATTTTATTGGTCATGGCTTGAGAGGCATCATGAAGTAGGAGATTGCATATTGAACCTACAATCAAGAAGACCTAGGTTCAAATACTGCCTTTGACACTTTCTAGCTGTGTGATCCTCTCTGAGCCTCAGGAACTCCTCTAAGATTTCCCTTCTAAGTTAAAGGTAGATTGAAATCTGACATTAGGTGGGGGCAACACGCATTCCTCCATAATTGCAGATCCTTGATTATGGTCATATCGATATCTGAATCTAACCTAAATAAAACAAGTTTACTAAGGCTCCTGAGTCTCTTGATTTAGATACAAGAAAGCCTGATAAGTCAGACTTTCTTATGTGACTACTGTGGTTTCAAGGCATTCTATAAATAGGCTCTGAGCTATTAATATAAATATTTTCATTATGTCAAGATAAAACTTGCATCCAGCTTAGTGGATGGAGCTAGAAGCATCAAGACCTGGACCTGTGACATATCTAGCTGTATGACATTGGGTAAGACCCCTCTGTATCCCAAACAACTCCTAAGACTGTAAGTTGTAGATCAGTTGCCTATCTGTACAGGTAGAGGGAGTTTCCTTCATACACACACACAAATCACTTATCTAGTTTAAAATCATTATGTAGTGAAACTCATTATTTCAGCTAATATGTAACATTTTTTTCAGAGGAATTGCATTAGAGTAATAATACCAGTTAAGCTGGACTTTTTCCTTTGGGAGTCTAAAAGTATTCTGCAATTGTTGTCAATTAATATTTACCAAAGAAAGTTCTACGGGGTGAATAACAAGGAGCTGGGTACTTAATAATTTGATTAAAAACTAGTCACATCTTACAAATAGAGAAAACCTGGCATGGTGCCTGTCAGAATAATGTCTAAAGTTAAATATGCAGATAGGAAAGGAATGTGACTCCCAGTCCACAAGTGATGTTCCATCTTGGTATCAGTGTCCTTGGGGGAAGGAAAATGAATGGCATGGAGCATTTCCATGGTGAATATGGAGAGCAGCTCATTAGCTACAGTATTGCTGCCCATATTCAGCAAGAGATTCATGAAGACTTTTCCCAGTCATATAAATAGTCTTAACAGTGATTGCTGCCAGTTGGTGGCTAGACACCAGGTCTGCTGACCTATTAAATGAAGTTGCCATCTGCTCTTTATATTCACTGTGTGTAACTACCACATACCACCTCATTAAGAGTGGGACCCTTGTGAGCCAGAGACAGCAGCTTTTTTCAAGTGAGCTGATGCAAACTCTTCCCCAGGCCAAATCAGTAGAAACTGCACTCATCTTATCTCATTTGGAAATTACCCTTTGCAGATCATGCAGTCTGATAGTCTGATTGCCTGTGATCACCTATGGACCAACCTGTCAAGGTATCAGTTTATTTTGAAAGTAATCTCTGTCTCTCTGTCTCTCTGTCTGTCTGTCTCTCTCTCTCCCACGCACACACTGTTTAAATGTTTTCCTTAATTTTTTTCCCTTCATACTTCATCTTCAGGGTAATGCAGTATACAGTTGCATATTGAAATGTCAGTTAATAAGTTTGCCAAATATAATAACTTTGAATGTGGCCCAATTTGAATGTATTTGCCAGGAGTTCTCTAGAATTATGAACCTAATTTATGTTACATGGGTTCTAATTTTTAAAGGAATTTGATTGGCTTTTCTTTTAACTTCTTCCTAGTTAAATTCTACCAAAGTGGCACCTTTACAACTTTTGAATAAAAAAAATTAATTTGTAGAAATGAAATTATTTCATATACACTTTGACCCATTGGATTTAGCATTTTAATATATAACAAGTTAATGATGTCAGCAAAGAAATAGAAAAGAATTTCTATTTGTGATACTCACTACTGACTCACGGTTTCTTCCTTGTGGAATTATTCTGGTTTGAGTTTCAGTGCTATTGGTATGCAGAATTTAAAGAATAGGGCTGGTCCTGAGCAAAATTGTGAAATATGCAGTTTGTCTTTAGTTCCGTCTCCTTCTAGTGATACTTCATCTGGACCTGCCACCTTGGCTTAGCACCCTCATGCTGACTAAATGTTGACTGGCCACTCCTGAGTGCCCAGCAACCTGCGTAAATGTGGACATTACTAACTGTTTGCTTGTTTCTTGTTGCTGTGGCTGTCCACCCCACACCCCTTTTACCTACCAATTAAATTGACCAAAGACCAAGATTGGGTTATCCCTGCTTTCCAAGGTGATAATTACTTAATCTATTAAATCAATCTATCTTTTATGTTAATCATGGGGAGTTAAAGGTTACCGTACCTCCCACCCCACCCCCCTTGCTTGCATGTAACAGAACACTGTCTCTTTATTAATAAAATATGTATTTCCAAATGACTTTTAGAGAAAATACTCATTTATTTTAGCTTAACCTAAGAAGGGTTAGCATTTGATGGTAGGAATTCCAGGTCAGAAAGGAGAAGGAGGAAGGTGCTGACATAAAAAAACCAATGGGGGAGAGAGATACTTTTGGAAAGGTTGGACCTTGTAGCAATCTTCTAGTAAGGTGGCTACCATCTTAGCCTACTCATAAGACCTGTTCAGCAAAGGGATATAGATTAATCTAATATTTCCTAACCTAGCCCCTTGTACTTTCTGAAATTTTCCTTAAATAGTGAATAAAATTGCAGGCAGTGGAAATATATTGTCTGAGTCTCATTTTATTTAACCGCCTAGAGAGTTGGGCTAGATCATCTTTTAGCTTCCTTCTGTGATTATAAAGTATATAAAATTCATTCTGTGAGGCTATTCACCAACAAAGAAATGATTAATCTCCTTCCAAGTATTCTCCATAAAGTGCATTAATTGTTTTGAATTTCAGAACTGCATTGGCTTAAAAAAAGTTCCACTAATTCCCCTCTGTGAATCTCGGTTTAGCATTCAAATTTACTGTGGAGGATCTCTATGCCTTGGCTTCAAGGTTCCATTGTCACTTTCTATTTCTTGTAATTGTAACTCAAGGTTAAAACTATGTTAACCAATATGGTCTGTCTCAATACATCTCACTTTCCCATGTTAACCCCTCTGACAACTTTCTTCTGTTCATAAAACCAAGATCACAGAAGGGAAAGTAATGTTCTGACAAGAATGTCAAAGTGCAATGCAGATATTCTATTGGCTTGTTACGTAAAATGTCTCCAGAGTTTCACTTCAGTATGTGCATGAGGGTACAGTATAGTATAATCATTCGTCTCTCTGGCCATATACTTTAAGTGGGCATGGGTCACTTTTATCTTCTTTTTCCTTTTTGAACACTCCCTGCACATCCTGAGGTCTGACCACACTCAGGATGAGTGGAAGGTTGAGTAACAACTTGGTAAAAAAATAAAAATTAAAAAAAAAAATCCAGGGCAGCTAGGTGGCACAGTGGATAGTGCACAGTCCATGGAGTCAGGAGGACTTGAGTTCAAATCTGGCCTCAGATACTGGACACTTACTAGCTATGTGACCCTGGGCAAGTCACTTAACCCCAATTGCCTTATAAAAAAAATTCTGTAAAAATAATGAAACGAGCAGCTTCCTTTGTAATGATTATTCTAGGCAGCTGTCTTGGCACCCACAGAATAACACAATAAGGTAGAGTTTGAAGGGCTGTACTCTTAAAACCCTAAGTTTTTTTCAGTCTGATTCAATACATAACCAGTATGGGAAAGTCAAAAAGAATGCTGGGATTGGAATTAAAGGACCTGTGTTCACATCCCAGCTCTGCTACTTTTTACTTGTGTGATGTTGGGCCAGTTATTTAGTGTCTGTAGGCCTCAGTTTCCTCATATGTAAAATGAGGAGCATTGGACCAGAAGAGATGGCCTCTGAGGTCCCTTCTAACTCTAATTTTTTATCTTAATTCAAGAAACATTCATTAAGCACCTACTATGTGTAGAGTCCTGTATTGGAAGAAATAGAAGACTTGGTAAGATATAGTTCCTATTGTTTTCCAAAACAAAACCCTCTGTTATGAATAATCTTTATTACTCATTACTTTAATTCTTTCTACTAAAAAAAGGAACTATGTTTTAATATTTTTTTTTTGTTGTTGTTCAGTTATTTCAGTTGTGTCTGACTCTTTGTGACCTCACTTGAGGTTTTTGGCAAAGATGCTGGAGCGGTTTGCCATTCCCTTCTCCAGCTCATTTTTTCAGATGCGGAAACGGAGGCAAACAGGGTTAAGTGACTTGCCCAGAGTCACACAGATAGGATGTATCTGAGGCCAAATTTGAACTCAGCAAGATGAGTCACTGCACCACCAAGCTGCCCAATATTCTTTTTACGTCTCTGAAATCCCAGGACCATCTCATGTAATAAACCCATGCCTAGTCTTAAAGAAGTACAATTAAGCAAAACAGGCACAATGACCATGACTGGCGGCTTAAGCTCATTCTTCACCTTAAGTCCACCACTGGTATGTTTCCTTATCAGTCTCATGGCGTTCAGTGTGGTTACTGTGTTGGATCACAGAGTTTTAATTTAAGAAACCCCAGAGACCTTCTGATCCATGTCCCTTATTTTAGAGATGAGAAAAGGGAGGCCCAGTGACAGGCTCACAGTGACACAGGTAGTAAGCATCGAAGACAGGATTTGAAAGGAAGTCACCTGACTCCAGGGCCAGTGCTCGCCACTGTTCCATGATAGCATTTAACTGAGCTGTGATATCTTTGAATATTATTTTCCTTGGCGTTTATTATCCTCATCATGTATATGATTCTCTTGCTGCAGCTTGATTCATCTGTACTAGTTGATTTTGATTTTCTCAAGTTTCTTTAAATTTTTCACATTCACTATTTTTAATTTATTTTGAAACTAGGTCTCCCTTCCTATCTGGCTCAGACTGGAAATGTAGTGGCCATTCACGGCCCTGACTTAATGCTGATTACTACAGGAAGGAATGAAGGAAAAAAAGCAATTATTAAGTGCCTCACACTGTGCTAAATGTATCACAAATATTTCAGTTAATTCTCACAATAATCTTGAGAGATAGGTACTATTTTTATCCCTATTTGCCAGTTGAGGAAACTGAGGCAGACAAAAGCTAAGAGACATGCCCAGGGTCACACAGGTAGTAAATGTTTGAGGATGGATTTGAACTCAATGTTCTATTCACTATGCTCCCTAGCTGCCACTAAAAATATAATAGCTAACATTTATATATATATATATATATGTACATATATATATAATATATAATATATATATATATAGCACCTACTATGTGCCAGGAACTGTGCTAAATGCTTTATGATTATTACCTCATTTGATCCTCAAAAACAACTCTGGGAGGTAGATACTGTTATTATCCCTATTTTATAGTTGAGGAAACTGAGACAAACAAGTTAAGTGACTTGCTTAAGGTCACACAACTAAGCAGTGGTTGGAATTGAACTCAAGTCTTACTGATCCCAACCCCAGTACTCCATGCATTGTGCCACCTAGCTGCTTTTAAGTGACAAGGGTAGGATTCAAAATCATGTCCTCTTACTTCAAATCTAGTGCTAATTCCTTAGGGTTATAACCCCGGTACCTTCTAAATTTGATCCCATTACCTTTCAGCTCCCAGTAAAAAAAAAAATATTCACATGACACATTTTAAAATTTAATTTGGATTATTAGGATTTTTTTCTTTCACTTTCTTAAATCTAGAAGTCAGGAAAGCAGTAAATCAAGTCCTGATTTGTAGCATTTGCTGATTCCCAAGGTGTAAATGTTCATGGTGAACATATAACCAGCATCTGGTATGAACTGGTATAGCTGGTGTGAACCATCTCCAGCTCATCCCTGCCTTCAGTCTCCAGGCCTCTGTCTCCATGCCTATCTCATCTGCCCTTCACCTGAGTTTTACTCTTAGAGCTTTAATCCAAACAGTTGCCCTTATTTATTCAGAATTTATCCATTTCAGAATACTTTCCCCACTCCACCACCACTTTAAGACTCAAGATTCCAGAGCATTGTCCCTGCCCCACCCAGACTTGCAGGGAAGGTGATAGTTATCTGTTTATATACTAATTTATGCTAATGAACTATTAGGGGAGGGTTAAAAGCAACCCCAGAAGGCCCTGCTTCCCCTCCCAGGTGACAACTGAACATTTGAACAATAGTCTCCAGGTATAATGCCCCCTTGTGACCTAAAATGTTAAGGAAAGGATTGGTCAGAATTTCAGGCTGTTAGAAAGGGGAATGGTTATCACAGCAGATGGTTGGGGTTACTGCTAGGAGGTTTTATGGAATCTCTTAAGTTAAAGATGGTTGTCTAATTCTGCCTTTTAAAAATATGCCAGGGCCTTATCTCTTAGTAATTATACTATTATTTTGTTGTGTTATTTGCAAGCACTTGAGGCTATTGCCTATGTGACCTTGGACAGATCAC